AGTTCCACATGGCCGACAGCCTCCATAAAAGTTGGCGATGCCTTCGCAAAATCCATCTTCATATTCAAGAAAGCAACAGGGTCTGCTCCTCGAGGCCCGGCCGATAGGGGGGGTGGGAAAGTGGGAGCGTCCATGTTGGGCCCTCGCTCAAGATATCTCGGGTTCATATGTTCCCTATTATCAAATCATTAGCATTTCGACAAGATGCCAGGACGCCACGCCATCCGCCTTACCCAGGTCCCATTGGAACGCCCGAAGGGTATATGCTCAATGGTCGCCTCGCCGTAGTATCTTGCGGATGAGGAAATCTGGATGGATCATAGCGAGTTTCACGATCGTCTCTTAGTCGCGGTCGTCCTCGCTTCTTGTGTTGAACATCGACGCATGATTCTTCCTTCCCATTCGTGATACATCTCGAACATGGACGTTGTGCTATTGATGCATTAGCGCTCCTTGCCTTTGCAAAGTCATATCAGAAGCGTATATCGATATGTGCATTCCGCCTGGCCATATCCGAGGCATCGACAAGAGACACAACATGCATTTAATCGGGTCCTCTTTTTCCTATGATACGAAGTCCAGTGTGTAGAGACCCGGCCGTGGACTGGCCAGGTTGGCATCATCTCCCAATCTTGGAGGATTCTCGAGCAAGGAAAGGGATTTCACAGCATAACGTAAAGGAATAGGTTCTCGAAAACATACCATCACAGCTAACCACGAGTTAGTACAGCTAGTTCATATGGGCACATAAAGAGGACCACTTACCGAAGATGCGCTCGTTTACAAGGGACACATGCAGAGGCCACATGACCTTTCGTTTTCCGCTGCGATTTCGGGGAAGTCATAGGCTGATTCTCAACCACTGACGGGCGGACAGACGACGTGTAAGACGAAGGTGCTCCAGGAATTCCGGGAGGAACATAACCAGATGACTGGGGTATAGATGGCCCCCCTGGTTGGATGTACGAAACAGGTCGAGGTACGGCCTCTTCTGTCCTTCGATATGGAAACGGTGGTGCGTCTGAGGGCCCTGGTTGGAATAATCTGGGAAGCGTGGTCTGCATGTTGGCAGGTCCTCGGTGATCAGTCGGTAATTGTTGATTTGAGTTGCCCCAGTAAGTATCGGTCTGGCTAGAAGCTGAATATCCCACTGGTGCTTGCCCTCGATCCCCAGCGTCTTGGGGCTGCTTCGAGGGGAGGGGCGGAGATCCTGACATGGGTGGAGAGGGATATGCTCGGTATCGAGCAAAAGAGTCTTGCTCTGCGCTCTCGGATACCCAGGCCAGGTCTAAGGCAATTTGCGCCAGGTCTGAGATGCCGCGGCGTTGGCCGAGCGGGACGGAAGCTGAATCGGAGACGGATCCCTTGATGACCATGAGGGCAAAGTTGCTACAGGATTAGTGGCTGGACAGACAGTAACTCCAACCCTGAGCTAGAAACAACAAAGATAGACTCTGGGTTTGTCGTCTTGGTCTGTTTTTGCGATACAATCGGATTTGATCTGGGCTAACTTCCAGTTGTCGTCAATGGCCACCGGTCAATATCCAGCTGACCTGGACAAAGAGGTATCTCTTGTTAAGCTCCAGGTGCAAATTCAGCAGCTTCTTACCAGTCCGACAACCCCTTCTTTCGAGTTGCGAGCTGGAAGGTCGTTGAAGCTGATCTTGATGGAGATGTGCCCCGCTTCTAAGATCTGCGGAGCTGAGGTGGCAGAGGAGCAGAAGTTACCAAGGGCATTCGAGATGCTAGGCTGACGGTTGTGAAGGAACACTCCAACGGTAGCGAGTCAGGGATCAAAGAAGCGACAAGCGAGTGCCAAAGCGAGGAGGCGTGAGACGAGATGCTGCACCGTGATACTACAAAGATGCGATCTTGGAGAGGTCCTGGTGATACAGCGTCAAGCCGTGCAGTTGGGAGGTCGAGACGGAAGCGGCCAACTGCAGATACTCAGGGCCGGAACCTGAGAGGCGGAACCGGGTGAGGTAGAGCGGGTAGGTAAGTATATTCGGGCCCCTTGCTGGCCGGGAGGCCGTGAACACAGGTGATCGGGCTGTGGACGGAGACTGTTCGGTGGCCTACGCTTGGTTTTTGTGAGACTATGTATGCAATAAAACCTTCTCTCTGAGTGGCAGCGCGACTGAGATGCAGCTTGGATGGATCAGGGTTGGTGACAGGGCAGTTGGACCCTGGTTCGGATTTTAGAGTGGCTGCTAAGTCAATCAAGGGTTCCGGTAGATTTCCATAACGAGAATTCTCCGCCTCCCTTGGTCTTTGCAATATGCGCCAGAAGATCACCAAAGTGGGAGATTTGGCGCGGAAGCAATAAGACAGGATACGTGTGGTGATTGGGGCGTTATATCAGCTGGAAGTAGTGGTATAGGCGATGTAATAGTGTGAACAAGCAGAAGCAATATTAGCTACAACCTTCCAGCCTTTGCTTCTCGCTGAGCACCTAGTGAGAGGTTCTTGTTAATCGGTGGAGGGTGCTCTTCAGTTTTGATAGCGGGGGTGTAAGGCAAGATCAAGATGAACAAGGGCGGTCGAGGGAAGACGCTGAATGGAGTGAGAGAACCGCCGTAGTCAAGTCGGGCTCACGCCGACTGGCTGGGTTAGATATCGGCCGTCCCGAAAGGACGGAATTGAGAGAGAAGGGCAACAAAGACAAGCAACGAGCATGTCTATTGAAGCAGTAGTAAGTTCTGTATCTGTACCTGTACCTGAACAAGGAGAAAGCAGGGACAAGGATGAAGTCGAGAATGTTGAGTCCAAAACAGAAGCCTACGCCTGAGACCAAAACTAAGACTCAGACGAAAGACAGAGATGCAAATGTAAATGCAGGTGTTGACAAACTTGACCTGGTACGATACTGAAGTCTCGTCTTTTCCTAAGTAAGGGCCCGCGCAATGGGAAGCCCAGCCCAGTCCAGCCCAGTCTAAGCAAGCCAGCTAGACTAGGGCCCTGAGTGTAAACTTCAGGGCTTGTGGAGATAGTCTTGGTGGCCCGTTATGAAGGTTGTCGAAGTGCTCAACGCCCGGCCGAGGGGGAGGGGTGCGACAAGGAAAACCCTGAGAACCCAGCAAACCTGACCCAACCAGCACCTTAGTGCCAACTGGCTTGGTAACCCTACAAAGGTGTAAGTCAAGAAGGACACATGATTGACATATGTGAGTTCATAGCCAAGGATCACGGTAGTCAGCCAAACTACAGAGTTCAAATAGGGTATGGACATTGTTTAATTGTTGGTTATTGAGCAGCATGCGAATGATTACGAAACTTGAAAGCATTTTTTGTCGAAACCCATGACATACTTTGTCCAGGAAAGCCGGAAACACCACAGCTCACGACCAAGATAAGCCACTGCGAAGTCATTTGTGGAAGCTCAAAGAATGATAGACTCTCAGGAGCCATTTGGACAGGGTGAGTGGCCAGTCGAAGGAAGTTCAGTGAGGTCAGAGAGGCATTGGCCAATTGATAGCCCATGGGCCACAGCAAGTGGGCTGAGTTGTAGTTAATAATGGATCGTACCCTTCACATCACTCGTGGCTGGGAGCTTGACCCCAAGAGAATCCAGGTGTCAACCTCATTACTAGTAGATCTGATCTGTCCACCGCTGAATAGACATTCAACGTCGACGTTGTGCATCGTGTATCAGTTGTGCAAATACAATGTAGTATCAGCTGGTCCATTGCTGGAAGCCGATTCATTAGGTGCATTGCACGCGGATGTGCACAGGAAGGCCAAGGTGGAGCTCGCATGCGACTGGCTCACAAATTTGTCCTCTGTCCATAATAAACATTATTGATAGGGATGAATTCAGGTACCGAAAGCTCCAAGACTCGCAAGTTTTACGGGTTGGCCGCAATATGGGGGTGTTAATTACACTATCCCTTCAGGGTGTGTGTGTTAGCGGTGGCTTTGGGTCATGTTGTTGGCGTTCATGACTGGTACGGATACTCTTGGTGGACTTAGGGTCTCCAGTAGAGGTAGTGTTCAAAGGCAAAGCCACGTTGTGAAAATCGGCAGCGATTGTTCGGCCGGTGCTCCGAATTAACGAGGCCATTCATGATGCCTGCGACTGCAATAGGAACTAACTGAGGTACACACAGAGCCCTGCTGTCCTGATACTGGGCCACGGACAAAACTCAGGGGCGCAGGGCCGAGGTTGCAGCTAGGGTTTCCTGAGAACGGGGGCCAAGTAATAGATGGTGATGCAAGAAACAGTGGCCAAGCAAGATGAAATGCGGGTTGGGCCTGTACAAAATGGAGGTCGGGAGTTTTCCGCTCCATGCCTCGCTTATTAGTATCTTGTGAGGCTTGTCTTGAACATAGTTGACGCTCTATTAACCCACTAGGTGCTGTATCACCGTGATAGGAGAAGGGTAGAGCTCCGTTTGGGGTTTGGGTTGATGGCGATCCAAGCGATATTGGCTCAGACAAGTTTAGCTTTATTGTTCCGGCCGGCAACGTTCAACGTCCATCAGCCCTCAAACGAGCCCCCCAGCGGCCTGGAATATCGAACCCTGGGGCATGGGACACCTAGCCCCTAGGCTAGTATCGCGAATCTAGCCAGACATAGCGACAGCGACGGGCGGCGCGGAAGACGAGGAAAAAGTGGCTGGATTCTCACAGGAACATGACATGGCCAGGGTGCCAGGTGCCAGGTGCTAGGCGCTAGGCGCTAGGCACTAGCTAGGTGCTTTGGTTGTACTGTGGTGGGTGGTCTTGATCCCTGAAATAGAAAATTTGGTGTAGATGTCTCTTCGTCAGTATCTGTACATACGTCACAATTCTCATGGCAGATAGGTACTGGTAGATTGTAGCTTGTAAGTTTTGTGATATCGTCGTGACATGTACCTAGAGGCCTCACTCATACCTTTTTCGCCTCTTTTCCTTGGTGAAGCCTGTAGACAGGAATCAAGTGACAGGGCCTATTTGGAGGAAAGTGCCTTCTGGTTGACACGGGGCCTTGTCATTGTTCTCTACAACAGGTAATTGCATCCATGGCAGCTACCTACCTTACCCAGTCACTTTTCGAGGTCGTGCTTACCTCCAACTTAGATTGGAAGGAACCTTCCTACGAAGCCAGCTCAACCCCAACCATAGCCAGCGCCGATTAACTTTTCCTAACCTTTGTTTGATATCGCGATCTCTTCATGTGTAGCCACAAACATTGTTCTTGCCTTGTTTTGCCTCCCAATAAATAGTGCATCGAAATACTGACGTTACAGCATGCCGAGAAATACAGGCGCAATGCCGTGAGATCTGGTGTCAGGGTGCAAGGTTTAGCCCCAGTCAGTTGTACCGCGTATTATCCCTGTCCTCTGGTTCTTCAACACTACGTTTTCGACTCGCTCGCCGGATCACAACATGTTGAGCAACACAAGACGATACGCCGCCGGCTCCCACTATCTTGTGGGGGCATCCTTTTGTTCTGCAAGCGAGCACATGATCCAGGGGATCGTTGATGACGCATCACAGGTTCCAACTCCAAGCCAGTGCTATTAGGAACATCCCGAGTCGATAAGGAGGCTAGGGTGGCAGCCCGGCCCGTAACGAGGGACACTCAGATCTCACTACTATGTATAAGCTGCTACGCAGGTGTTCTACTCAAAGGTATGGAGTAGACGCTTCGATGATTCGTATAGGCCTTCACAAATGATCCAGATGCACTTGTCTATCAATAAATTCAGAGCCGGCTTTTCCAAACATGCTCACTCTGGCTTCACATCATCTTCAGAGTGCGAGCAGCTCTTCAGGCTCCCTCTACTAGCAGATTTCGTCCCCCTCCCCCCACTATGCGGCTGTCACTGCAAGGCGCATAGTGTCAGGTTAGGAAGCTCTGGGCGGGGCTTCATTTCAATTAGCTACAACGAAGAGAAGCATCCGAACCTGGCTGCCTCAGTCGTCTGGTCTTCTCGGTACCATGTCTGCCTTTCCAGGTGTTGCATAGAGTCGCTTCGAAACTGACTCGAGTTGTGTGGTTTGGTGTCTAATCAAGTTTTCATGACGTTGCCTGGTTGCCGTCGACTACTGCAGCCTTTAATAAACGGCTGACTACTGGCTAGTGCGATCCCACCGACCACTCCGAGTTCTATCAGGTAGGTATTGCGCAGGAATACATCTGGGCCCTGCACTGCGCACCCAGGCAAAGGAGCAATCCGTGCTATCTAGTGGATGCAACAGTACCATCGTGGACACTTACGCAGACAAATTTTCCGTCTCGTTGAGCGCTAGATCTTTAATCGCTGAGCTTGATTTGTGGTGATGGCGGCCCAGGCAAATACACACCCTTGTCGCTCAAGCAGGCCAAGCATGGCATGCGCATGGCATACCGGATGAGCCATGTTGCTTATGGGCATCAGTGCATATTATCACATCTTGTCGACGTCTGCGGCCATGATTAAATCTCCGGTTCCAAGGATGTTTTACGCCGCCGCCGCCGTCACTAATTTTCGACATCGTTGTCGTGCCTCTACATCGGCACTCCTCCTCCGAGCGGCCGCTCCTCATTATCACCCCAGAAAGTCACAGTACGACCATGCAAGCTCGATAAAGTCGGAGAATCGTTTGCACAGTCTCAACACACACAATCGAGACAAAGTTGTGTTATGTATGGAGGAGAGTGTTTTGGCTGCAATACCTTTGATCACAATTTTAGCTCAAGGTGTGGCACAGCAGACTGCTTCTGGAATCTCGTCTAATGGTAATAAAGCTCGATTATTACGTCGAATTGACGTACTGACCTCTCATGCCATACAACAGAAGAGGATCGCGTAGTTATATTGCAATGGGGGCTCAGTCTATGCATGCTAGAACTTGCCAAAACTCGGGGCGTAGTTCTGCTAATCGCCTCGGGAAATGTTCTCCTGGCTGGATGGCCGTCCACTGATTCTGATCCCAACTGACTATGTTCGGGGAGATTCAAGCTTAGGGAAATTTATATTTGGTGACAGGTCACTTGGCCTTGACTGCAGTAAGCGAGTCTTTGTTGGGCCTAGTTGCGACCGTTTTGTCAGACCAACTCTGGCCCAATGGCTAAAAATGCCCCGAGCCAAAAGTTTGGCCCCTATCGGTTACCCCTAGTTTCTTGGTCATGACAACCATGGCGGCTAGGCCAAGATGCCACGGCTAGCAAAAATGTATGGAAGGCTGGCAATACATCGAAACTGGCTAATGGCCGTCATTTATGGAGTAGCTGGGAGTCCAAAACTAGTTGTCGTTATATCCACTTGCACACAAGCAGTACGAGATGTTCCTATCCGCGGTAGTCGATGGCACACAATCAATGTCTGATGTCTTCTGATTCAACACGAGATGAATCAAAACAAAGCTGAGACTGTATCGATGTACAACAATATGGGGAGAGGGAGGACAATCACGTACGCTCTGGCAGTTGTTGTTCAGTTCAGACCCCTAATAAACTCGTGTGATCTATTAAACAAGGCCTAGAAATGCTCCCGAGGCGGGGATAGATACCTAGACTAAGCCCCTCTTCTCTTCTTCTCGACTGCATGCAGCAGGACCGCAGGGAGCTCCTTCAAAACTCTGGCATCGCCTGAGAGCCACTACTTTGATCATATCTGGCTTGACTATTGTGGCAAACACAGCTGATGCCACATATACTCCGAAGGTAGATGAGAAAGAAAAAGCACAGTTTGTGGTGATCGCCTGTCCATTCATGCAGCTTACCGGAGAAGTACCATGTGGTCCAGAACAAGTTGGTAATGTCTTGTTAATCGTTAGACACCAAGTTGTGCCGTCGTAGTAAACCTGCGAGGGGACACATTTCTTGAGGCACCCCTGGCAGCAGCTTTTGATAAGCCACGAACCAAATGCTGGGATATGGCTTCACGGTGCGTATGTATGCATTCGGAAGTCCATTCTTACAATACTCAGAACCGTTAGGCAATGACGAAGTGTTGGTGGACAAGGTTCAAGCCACGATCCTCATGTCAAGCGGTCAAATACTTCCTCCAGAGCCCAGCGCCATCAATTTTCCCCTGGAAGATCCATTGGCGTGTCTAGGGATGATGGTAGGCGCTATGTCTATATTTGGGAGCTTTCAAGCTCACGTCTAGGTTGTTTCTCGTTTTTATTCCTTATTTCTCCAGTCGCGCCGACAGAATGAATAACGGTCAACACTACTGGCAGCCCCCTGTTCAGCTGTTAACCCCACGTCGGACCTGACAAGCATGGTGGTGTGGTATGTCGGCCAAGCCTTGAAAGAGTACCTAGCCAAGGAGGTAAGGGCCTCTCAGTCAGTATGCTGGAGTCTAGCCCTCACTATTGAGACATGGGAGGCTGCTAGACCATGTCTAGCAGGCTTGATCGGACGAGTCACGTCCTCACCGCAGGTCTGAGCTGCAAAGAGGCTGAAGCAGTAAAGTCAACACTGCCGGTCTTCTTAAGTGTCTCACCCACACAACAACAGCCTTAGCAATGGGTAAGAGTTGGCCGATGGGAGGCAGAGCCCATCCCCGTTGGATTTCCCGACCCAGACTCGTCCCCCTTCTGAATCACCGTATCTCGCTGTTGACTTGATTCATTAACTCAGCGAAATCCATTGCCCAATTGCCAAGGCGGGCAGACTCGATGCTTCGGCTCTGTTCCTGAAAGAAATCTCCGGGAAGGTTATTCGTATAAAAAAAAATGTGGCACTACCGGCAGGATGGTTCGGTGTGGATATCGGCGGCGACGACGGACGCTGTTAATAAGCTAGCGAAGCGTTGGTCAAACTATCGGGCAATTGTGCTGGCTGTGACGTTGGCATGCAGCAGCACCGTTTCTTCTGACTCGGTTTGGCTTCTAGTTTAAAGGCGTTGATTGGATATGAAAGGTTATAGCACACTGGAAAGGGAGACCATTGCCTCGAATCCACGTTCTCGGTACAGAACATGGCGCGCCATTCATCCCTTCAAGTTGCGACGCCCCTTACCGACGCAAAGGTTATCACATCTGACTAGCGATGCTTCCCGTGTGAATCTCAGACAGGAAAAGCAAGTCAGGGTGTGACCATTGGGACGGAGGCGGAAGAAGGGGCGCAATGCAATGCGATGCGATGCAGGGCAGGGCAAGGTAATGCAATGCAAGCTCTGCTTCTATCCTTCGACTTTGGGAGTTTCATGACGCGGATGTTGTCGGGCATGCTAGGCGTGTGTGGCACACCGATGTAAGACACCTGCTAAAGAAATGCTCCTATCGTGGCAAAATGAAAAGGTCTGGAGCGTCCAAAGAAATACGGTCCAGCTGCCATTGAGCATGGGCACTTAACCTGCCAAGCCATGTCTTTGGTGCTGCCCAATGAGTTAGAAGTCCACCGCCAAATAATCAGCAAAGTTGCGAGGGATGAGGGCATTTCGATCAAACAGGACAGCTCCACCGCAGAAGGACGGCAAGACGGGCACCCCGTCATTGGATGATAGATAGCCTGAGCTATTATGTACATTCGTTAACAGGGATTGTGTTCGCTTCTCTGCGTGTGCAGCTCGCAATGCTACCCTACACTGCATTTACTAGAGACAAATTCTCCTCGAGTCTCGGTGTGACAACCTGCACATCGAAAGAGGCGCCGGATGCGAGATGTGTGTGCAAATATGCTGGGTACACAACATGAGATCTGATGATCTCATCAGAGCAACACACTTAAAGGACAAATAAGAACTCTGGAAAGGCATGAGGCGCTCGGGCATATATCGATCTGCAATTGAATGAACACAATCCCAACTAGTGGTGAACTATACACATGAAGGGTAAAATCACGTAAATTGCGAAGCATATCGCTGGTGGACAATAGCGAAAATGATATTATAGACAGGGATGGATGTGAATATCAGATAGAGCTGAAACTCGAGACAGATAACATCACAATGTTGACCTGCTATAGCTTACCACTTTACTTCATGAGCTAACAGACATTGAAAATAAAAAGTTGGACTTCTTTTCTAAGCCGTACAAAGAGTCAGGTCAGTTTAGTATATCTTTCCCGTGCCTTCCATTAGATCGGTCAATTTTGGTACAGTAGGTCAGGTAATATCACAGGTTTTCTTGCTCCCGTGGATTGCCAAGTGCTCTCTTGGTTCTTTCCTAGGTAAGGTATGGAGTAGGTACCTTAGCTTGCCCGAGAAGGAGCAGACGGGAGGAGCCATGGAATACATCCAATACAATGGATATCAAATACGAGGTAGGTGGGGGTCTAGGCCATCGCCGCCATCCATATTGTGACTACCAGCTCGGGACTTTTTTTTTTCTCTCTCTCCCAGCGCCATCGGAATTTGTCTCCAGATTGATCATACCATCTACATCCTTTACCAATGTTAAGGTTGGGTGATACCATAGGATTGGAATCTGAGAACCAGTCGTATGGACAGCTTATTAGCGTCTGATCGGATCGGCAGTGCCAAAGAAAACGGCTTACGACCTTGCAGATAATCAATCAATCAGTCAGCCCGCCCGCCCGCTTGCCTGATCAGGCGGGGAAATATGAAAACGCGCACGCCTTGCATCACTCAGCCAGAAGCAGGGAACCCTAACCCAGAACTCAATCACCAAAGAGCCATGAGCTTGACCTCTCGTTGGCCCCTTCAAGATACGTCCGCACCCTATCAGTTGACCTACCAAGCCAACGGTCAGGTTCAGCAACGTGCGGAAATTAGCAACCGCCAGTAATGGACAAGCACCAGCTACCGCCAGCCTGATCCTTGCCTGCGATGATGACACTGCAGATCATGTATCGGATAGTATCATCGCTCGTACGGGCTGCTACCACTAAGGTCTTTTATCTCAGAATGCCGTAAAGCGGAGATTTAGCACGAGACCAGACATCGGCCATCATCTTCTTCTAGGTTGCCAATGCCGCTACCAAGGGCCTCCAATGCCGTGCCTGCTCATCCCAACATTTTCAACTTGACTCTGAGAATTTTCCGACATCCCGGAGGTCGCAACCAGCCAACTACATCCCGTCCTGACTACTTCGGTGTGGCGTCCAGCCAAAGGCATACATGGGGATTTGACAGCGATGGCACAGTCCTCATGCTGGCTCTCCCGACTTTAGGGTATCTACCAGGATAAGGCAAGGTAAGCCCCTGCAATGATATGCGCCTCTTGGGAAGGAAGCTCGTGGACACTTCGGGTAGGGGATGGACACATGGCAGTGGACCCCCGTCCGCCTCTCCACATGAGCATGCAAACCAACCTCATCAGCGGCCCTAATCACAGTGCAGTAGGTAGTTACAGGACAAGGCAGTTACAACATTGACCACACTCCAAGGGCAGACTTTTACAGTATCGATTGCAGGACCAGGAGATGTCGCTTGTCATCGAATTACCCTCTTGGGCCGGCCGCAGCATGCCAAACCATCGACCTGCTACTTATGGGCCTGAATCACGGGCTTGATAACCATCAAAGTCTATCTCCAACGCCTTCAATACGGCACAAAAAAAAGTAACTTTTCATGCAGCTCGTGGGAGCGCTATTGTGGCTATAGCCAACTTGATGTCGTCCATCGTACGACTCCAAGAGTCGCGACCACAGTCTGTTTTGCCCATGGATCCAAGACACTGCAGCTCAATCAGAGCTGTTGTGGCTTTTCTCACACACCTGCGTTCTATTGGTGCCCCATCCCCGCAAAATGGTAGCTTATGACTGAACTGTAAACACCATCAGTGTCATGCGCCATTCCATTTCTTTGATCTGTTTACAATTTCATCTCACTAATGTTTGAAATCCTCAACCAAGATTCGATGACATATGTGCCTGGCAGCCTGAGCGGGCCCCTCTCCCTGGCACGGCCCTTTGACACTTTGGGCAGAGCTGAGCCGAGTCCGCTATGAGGATGAAGTTCCAGCAGGCTGGCTGCCAGCTACTGTACGATCCATCCAGGGTTGCCATTCATCCCACCAGACCCTGTCAACCAGGGATCTGGTCTTCTTAGGAGACGATTAGCATGAGGAAAGCATATCCGACAGGCTCAGAATGATCTTTGTTAGAGTCGATATTCTCGCTCACGATGTAATGTTTATCAGTTTCAACATTGCTTGCTCAAGCTGGGACTTTTCTTGAATAGAGCTTTCGGCCCGTTGTCAGCCTTGACCACGACGGCTGGTGCCGTCGTGCTCTGATAGAGGCAGCGCTAGTTCTGCGGCTGGCCTGTTGCTTGAGGCCTCGAAGAACATGATATGACAACACGATGTCATGGGTTATTATGAACCCTGGGGATCAAGCTTCATGTTCAGACTAGGCCGGCATTATCTCATTTCTGCTAGCCTGCCAGGTCGCCAATACTGTACGTCACCTTGCACAGACAGCACTATTGCGCCAGCCAGATGCCAGCCCATGTTGTTTGACACGCTGTAGAATCGATAGCTTGCGAGCAGTGGAGAGGATGACCCATGAGGAGGCATATCACAGCATGGATGATGGTATCCAATATCCACTGAGCGATGGCAGGATACTAACTAGCAGTAAGACATGGCAGGATTCAAGGTGCTCAACTTCCTCTGGGATCGACAGGATCTCCAGTCTGTCTCGGGCATCTCACGAGACCTCAACTTTTATCAGCGTCTTATACTTACCCCTAATGTGGCCAACCAGGCGTAAATATTCCTATACATCTCGGGAACGGTACCTTCTTTTGAGTGGAAATTCGACATGACTTGATGCAGATTCGCAAATTCGTGGGACATGCCCTTCCAAAGGATGCATGCCTTAGGACACTCAAGAAATGCAACTGCACATAGTGCCAAAATAGGGGATGTTGACCTTGCCCAGCCAACGGTTCTGTAACATGCTAGGCCACTTGCCATCGATGTCTGGCGACGCATACTGAATCACAGAGGGACGATTCCCGAGACATGTATTGTACAACACGGGGGCCCTGATGACCACGAGCCCGATGGCCTGGGACGCGGCCGTGTGCTTGTAGGTTGTGCCAACCCATTACACGCGGGTAACTGCCTCCATGGTTTCTCATCTGCTCACATCGGCAATGACTATCACTGTGACAGACATAACCAAGACAACAATGAGGCGGTGGTTGATAGCAGGCCATTGTAAGACTCTCGATGTGGAGCATCTCGTACAACACTCTGCGGTACCGTCTCCATCTACTGAGCTTTCGGATGATCTCAGAACTCGCAAAGATGGCCACGCGAATTCGATTTTTCGTACAGGCCCACTACCGCGTGCTGAAGTGTTGAGGTGGCTTATTGTCTCAGAGAGTATTGCCGGTACCTGATTTGTAGCGGGGAACTCATGCATCTTAATCAATCTGAGGGTATGTGCTGCGAGATGAAAATGAATACCGTCTTATTGCTTCTTACTCCGATATAGGCCGTTTCGCAGCTCTTGCTCATCAAAGACATTTAGGAACCAAAAAAAGGGGGTACAATGCTGGTAGCTGAAAGTATATGCATCTGTCTTGCATTCGAACCTGCGTTTTAGATTGCTTGTTGATTATGATCTGATCGTTGATGAGAACTCAGGTGAACTGGCTATCGTGTACCGCCTCGTTGGAACATCTACGGCGCCACCCAAGTGAGGGGCGTCGTGCCGCTATCGAATCTCCTAACGACGTGGAAAAAGCAATTTCGCCCACTCCTGTTCGCGGACCCCGAGGCCATGACACATTGTGCATCATAGATCGAGAACAGGACTGTGATTGAGACGATTAACTCTGTAAGGTGGAAAATGAAAGAATGCTTGATGCTTGAAGTTGAAGGGCATGGCTTAACAAGCACGGAATAGCAATATGCGGATAGATTCAGCCAACAATTGTTTCCACGACCGGCTGCCTGGCCAACAGTGGAGCAGGGCTTACAATAACCAGGCGCCAGCTTCAGCTCACTTCTACCTAGTGTCAAGCTGTTGATCCTGTGCCTATGACTTTGGACCACCAGACTCCCTTCAGCTTGCTGTCAATTTGAGAATGTGGCGTCAGGGCTTGCTTCTCTAGATGTCTCTCCCTCCCTTCAGTCACCGAGGGCTTGGGCACCTAGGGCAGCCATATGCCAAAGTTGCCACGATGAGCGATGAGGCAGCTACACAGCGATGGCAGCATACATTTTAATTAGGCGAATGCTTCACATTCGGAGCCGAGCTTAAGCTACTTACCGGCTTGTCTCTCTGAGACTAATGGCCATCAATTGGACTGAGATCTTGTTGACCTTGGGGGTTATGAAATTTCTATTATGTCACGAAGTATATCTTGGGTATTGTTACTAAACTTTGGGTTCGTTGGAGATTCTTGACAAGGCAACTTGTGTTGAGACATGTGAAACCAATACAGCGAGGGATGAGTTGAGAAGATTTTGACACGCCAAAGATATCTGGATCTACTGTACTAAGTGTAGGCATGGAATCTGGATTGAGAGATGCTACATGAGGAAGTAAACCGAAACAATGAACGCCGATTTCAGGACTCCTTTCGCCGATCATAAATGACAAAGTCTGCTCGTTGGAATCGACACTCTAGCTCGGTAATCGCCTGCCGAAGGCGTACTGATGTCTCATGTGCAAGTATCGTCCACAACGACTTTCGGAAGATAGCAACAGATCAGCCATAAGACATATCTCAAATCGGGTGCCGTATTCAACGCCCCCTGACCGAGTCTGGTTTGGTGTAGCACGACAAAATCCACAGACTCGCTTGGCTCCCTGTGGCGTTACGTTTACAGTTCCAGTCTGGTACAAGCTTTGATTTTATATGAGAAGAAGGTGCATGATGCATCGTCGCTCGCTATGGGGCAAGGCATGCAACTTCAGTGGGCGCCACAGTCAGGCCCTTCCAGCTGTCTCGAAGAGAAGCAAGTATGTGTGTGCGCAAGGGCGCGCCGGCTAGAATCGCTAGTAAGGATAACGTGGAATCACAGGAGAGGGAGGTTTTGTGAGACGAAGCGCCGTTTGGTGAACCGGATAGATGCGTCGCAAAGAGGGCTGGTTTGGGCCATCTCGGTGAGGCTGGATAGGCCACACCCGTCGCGAAGGGCAGACTTGCGATACGGTCGAATAAGTCGCCATAGATCGTTTCAAAGATGCAGAGAAGGCTGATGTATATCGGCGAGACATTATTCACGGGCGATAGCATCGCTGGCACAACTTGTCCATAGCATTAGAGTCGACTCTCGATGCCTCGGTAGTTGGTGTCCTCTGCCCAATGCGAGTCTGGCCAGACAAGACGAATCGCCTCCCAGATATGGCTATCCAAGACATGTGTCAGTGAAACCATAATCCTGTCGTCGGGGCATATAGGCAGCAGGGTTGAGAGTGATACAAAGAGGATGCTTTAAGTAAGGGGTAGCTTACCTGACGTGAAGGATCTCCAGTCCATCCTTGACCTCCTGCGGAAGATCTTTGACATCCTTGCGGTTCTGGGCCGGAAGTAACACAGTCTTGACGCCAGCTCGGAGGGCGCCGATGAGTTTCTCCTTGATACCTCCGACGGCTGTAACTCTGCCCCGGAGAGAAATTTCGCCCTGTTTCACACAATAATGTTAGCATACTGAGTCATCTCAAGTCCACAGCGAGTCAATGACATACCGTCATTGCCATGGTTGGTGGCACCGGCTTCCCCGAGAATAAGGAGATGAGTGCGATCGCCTGGCCAATTCCACTGCTGGGACCGTCCTTGGGAATAGCGCCCGATGGGCAGTGCACGTGGATGCTGCGCTCTTTCATGATATCCGTAGTGGGCTCTGGAGTGAGACCCAGCTCGAAAGCATGTGCCTTGACCCAGGTCAAGGCAACCTCAACACTTTCCTTCAGCACATCGCCGAGTTTGCCGGTAAGCTGAACCCTCCCATTGCCTGGCATATCAGCAACCTCGATGAAGAGGATGCTGCCGTTGCCACCGGAACTATAAGCAACCAAGCCCGTCACGATACCGGGGCGGCTCGTCTTCTCAGCAATCTCTTCTTCAAACTTCTCAATGCCGAGGATGTTCTCGATGTCCTCCACACTGAGGTTGGATCGGTAGTCATCTATGTGACCCCCATCCTTGGCTTCGGCATACTCGACAGCTTTAGCACGGCAAACAGAGCCAATTTCACGCTCTAGATTGCGAACCCCAGATTCTCGAGTGTAACACTCGATGATTTTGGAAACAACTTCCTGGTTGAATGCAACCTGAGACTCGGCTAGTCCGTTGACCCTGATCTGCTTAGGGACCAGGTGCTGCATAGCGATGTGTCGCTTCTCGAGTGTGGTGTAGCCAGGGATATAGATAGTCTCCATTCGGTCAAGCAGAGGGGCGGGGATAGTGTCCAGGCTGTTGGCTGTAGCAATGAAGAGGATCTTGGAGAGATCAATCGGCATGCCAACATAGTGATCCTGAAAGTTGTAGTTCTGTTCTGGGTCTAGGACTTCCAACATGGCAGCTGAGGGGTCGCCATGAATGCTGGCTTGCCCGATCTTGTCAATCTCATCAAGCAGGAAAACAGGGTTGGCAACGCCGACCTTCCTGAGACCCTGCACAATGAGACCTGGCATTGCCGCGACATAGGTCCTTCGATGTCCCCGGATCTCGGCCTCGTCTCTCACACCCCCCAGCGAGATACGATGAAACTTGCGGCCAAGAGCCGTAGCCACCGATCGCGCGAGACTGGTCTTTCCTACGCCAGGGGGACCAGCGAGAAGCATGATAGGAGACTTGTCCACCATACGCTGAGACTTGAGGATGTCAAGCTTAGCCATCTCGGGCTTTGCGCTTCCCTCAATCTCTGAGTGTTCCTCGGCTGTTCCCTTGTCTTTTCCGTTGGATGTCGCAGCTTGTCCCAATTCCTCTTGTGCCTTCTTGATCTTCTCTTCCACCTCATCATTGATCGATTGTTTAAGTCTAAGGACAGCTAGATATTCGATGAGCCTCTTCTTGACATTATCCAGTCCATAGTGGTCATCGTCAAGCTGCTTCCTCGCCCGGTTTAGAGTATCAGGGCCCAGGCGGTCATCCGTGGTAATTGTCCAGGGGATTTCGGCCAGCGTTTCGAGCCAATTGCGTGTCACTTGATATTCTTGGTTCATGGGCTGCATCTTCTGAAGTCGTCTCATCTCCCTATCGACTGTCTTGGCAGCATCAGTGGGAAGTTTAGCGTTGGATAGTTTGCGCTTGAGCTCGTCAAGCTCATTGGCCTCCTGGTCATCGCTTTGGTCATGTCCACCAGGCATCTGTCCATTGGGCGGCACAAATGCCATACCGGGGATTTGAGGTAGCGAACCTGGCTTGCGGTTTTGGTTGGTTTCGTTCAATCGATCCAAGATCTGGACGGGCATAGTGGTGAAGGTCGTGATCTTGAAATTGTTCTTGATACCGCCAACCTGACGCTCCAGTAACTCAATGACCTTAGTCAAGCGCACTTTGACATCTAGAGCTGCAAGGACCTCGAGTTTCTCCTCGTGTGTGCTCTCAACCAAATTAGCCATAAAGTCGGCAAGAAGGCCAGCCTCGTTGAGCTCTTTCCTTATGATTAACATTTCAAGTCGCCTTGTAAGGACTGGCGAAAGAACCGGGCCATCGCGGGTTCGAGGAAGTAAGGAGGAAATCCTGAGGATCGTGACCAGTTCTCGAGAACGGGTTTTTAGGAGAGCAAACAGGTCTTGCGTCTGTTTATCGGTAGCATTGCCTGGAACAACAGTCAACTACAGGTGATGGGCAAGCAGTTACATGGAATAGCCTACAGTCTTCATGGAAATATGTCACCTTGGCTTCAAAATAGGGGCGCTCGCGGGTGAAGGAGTCAATTCGAACACGGGTTGTGCCTTCGACGCGCAGCGCAAATTCGCCCGTTCCTCTTCCATCAATGCCAATGATCTTGGCGGCAACACCAAATGTGAACAGGTCAGTCTTCTTAGCAGAGCCGGGAAGGACGTTCTCGATCTCAGCTGGGTCTATATCTTCCGCATCGCCAATGAGTCGCTGGCCGTTGCCACTGATAAGAGGGGACGAAATTGGAACGCAGGCGATGGGAATACTGTCGATACGTGTATCAGGGCCCTTTGTAGCAGCTTGCTCGTAAACGTGGGCGAGCAAAGCCGGAATGTCGGGACGGTTCGAAGATACTGGGATTCGCTGGACGAGGCCCGGGAGAAGGATGGTGCCTCGCGCGAGTGGTATCAGGGGCAGATTCGCGGTCTGTGGCTTTGCCATAATGCCACTGGTGATTATACAAGATCAGAACGAGATGAAGCAAACGCTATGCGAAAGGCTATGAACCAAAGAAGGGGACAGAAAGGGTCAAGGTTGGTTTCGTGATAGAAGCAAGAAGAGGAGAAAAGTTGTTGATGTCAGAAGCAACTACGTACGGATACAGTGGCCGATGGCCGAACGACGTAGGGTGTGATTGCGGCAAGTACCTTGGAAGGAAGGAAACCTGGAGAAACACGGGGCCAACGCCGAAGCCGGGATTCATTGGCGGTAGTTCCACATTTCCTGCCGAGGTTGAAGCTACCTACCCATGGGCTAGTCATGGTGATCATTTTTATATATCAAATGATGTGATGCCAACACAGGAAAAGCCAGCGGAGAAGCTTCTGAAAGCTGTAGCATATTCTACGCGATGCCATATATTTCCATCTAGGTCATTTCCGCGTGTCTACTTAGACTCGCTAGCGATGAAGAAAAGTCGGCAGATGCATGATCGCCTACCGTATTGGGAGAAGTCCAAGGATGCCTTGGGCTGATAGAGACAGCAATCGAATCAACAAGGGGATACTCCGTATCAACTCCTTCTTGTGCTATCATGGAACAAAGCATATGCTGCTTCCGTTCAGTTGATGGATAGTACTGTGTACCTACCTAGGTATATACTTCCCAAGCACGTGCCTTCTATCCCCATAACACAGAAGCTCTCATCAATGACTAAGGTAACGCCAATGCCCCACACAGGGAAGGCGGGGCATCATGGAACCCATTAAACTCAGGCGCGTTTTAACGCGTCTCTTGATCTTCACGTCCTGACCGTGAGCTCTGCCTAGCCCAACTCAAACATCACACAACCACAATCATGTGTAAGTACACTATAAGACACCCGCTTTCTGTCAAGAATTGCAATTCTGACTCTTCTTCAAAGCTGCTTACTCCGGATTCACAAAAACAAGCTATGGCGCCCAAGGGGGTGACGATTCTGGCGGCTTCTTCGCCGGTGGTTCACAACAGGGCAGTCAAGGCGGCGCCGGCGGCAAGGTACATCACACTCTCTACAACCGATAGTTACCACTCTTTCTCATATCTACTAGTCATACCAGGATGAGTCCTTGCGCCCTGTCACAATCAAGCAGATTCTCGACGCCGAAGAGGCATACGCTGGTGCAGACTTCAAAATCGACGGTTCCCCCGTGACACAGATCACATTCGTCGGACAAATTCGCAAGATTCAGCCTCAACCTACAAATATCACCCTCAACATCGACGACGGAACCGGCATGATTGAGGTCAAGAAGTGGATCGATGTCGACAAGCAGGACGATGCTGATCCCGGTTTCGAGGTGGAGTCTCACGTTCGTATCTGGGGTCGTCTCAAATCCTTCAACAACAAGCGACACGTCGGAGCTCATGTTATTAGGCCTGTGGCGGACTTCAACGAGGTCAACTATCACATGCTCGAGGCTGCATATGTTCATCTCTATTTTACCAAGGGCCCTCTCGGTGGTCAAGGTGGTGCCAATGGAGACGGAGATAGCATGTTCGTGGATGGTGGTGGCTACAATGACAATGGAGGCGGCAACGCTGGCCAGGCGCCTACTAAGCTCGCTGGCTGTAGTGGGCTTGCCAAGAAGATGTTCAACTTTATGAACGATACACCTGGTGGCAATGAAGGTGTCCATCTCAACGTCATCACCAACTCTACTGGCATGTCAGTGCGGGATGCTCTCACCGCTGCTGACGAATTGCTTGGCCAGGGTCTAGTCTACACCACAGTTGACGATGAGACATGGGCAATCCTCGAATACTAACATCAGAATTGAGTTTATGAGGGATGGGCTCCGAGAAGGGCAATTTATACGGAATACAAAATACAAAAGCTAGGTGCACGGTGTTTACGGTTACGGGAGGGACCAGCTTATGAAGGAATGACAGTCTTATATGGGTTATTTCTCTCTAATGAATGACTCGAGCTAGTTGGCGCACTGTAAGAACAGAAGAGATAGACAGCTATTGCGGTAGAGACTGTCGACACGTGTTGGCAACACAAAAAGACAGAAGCATAACTGCTTCATATCATCAAAACATACCAACGTCCAAAAGAATGACATGAGTCAACGAACTCGGTGTAAACTAACGCAAATTCTCGCGCAACCAGAACTCACATCACCGCACATTTCTTCCAATCTTGTTGCTCATGGGTGACGTTCTGGATATCCTCAACCTCTTCGACTTCAGCCTCTGACCCTGTGTCGATATTTGGAAGGATCAGAGGCTCGTCTCCCTAGAACTTGACTGCGCTGCTGACGGCAGAAACGATAACCGAGCTACAAGCGGGGCGAGTTTTCTGAGGCTCGCGAACCATGATCCACATCGTGATGGGCTCAGGGCCTCCCTCAAAGACGACGTCACGTTTGACCTCGAAACCGAACTTGGCGTAGTAGCCGTTGTTATGTTCGGTGCTGGACTCGAGATACATGGGACGCTGTTCAGCATCGGCCTGGCTCTTGTTAGTTTACTCCAGCGGTGGAAGATGGAACAAGTGCTCATCAACTGCAGTACCTTGGCAACCATATCGCGGATCAGTTTCCCGGCATAACCTCTGCCTTGGGCATTAGGCTTGGTACCGATGTAGACGAGATAATAGCAATCCTGGTTCCTTTCGCCCATGACCTCTTCCTTGGTCCGGTCCAGAACAGGGATCATCTCATCGTAGTATCGTCTGCGTCCTTCAGCTGACAGTTGATAGTATAGCTTCCACATACCACTGCGAAGACTAGTCCACCAGTCGTCCATCTGCTGACCCGGAGCAAGCCTGAGAGGCTGTTAAGATCAAATTGCGGTCATAGTTGTGGTTCACGTACCATAGAGCTACAGCATCATAGTCCGACCCAATGGTTGTCACCATCCCTTTGTAGCAGTGCGCTGCAACCATATAGGTCATATAGTCAACATGAAGCTTCCACTTTTGCTCATCCGAATAATCTGCCATGTCGTCACCGTCGAGTACATACTGACTCATGGCATCAGTTGCAAAGGCCTGGGCCAGCGCACTACCAGCTGCCGCAGACTCGTTCACATTAACGAAACGAACAGAGGTTTCCCAGGTAGATGGTATAAGGGAGCGTCGCCGCCACTTGGCTAATGTCCCAGAGCCATGGATACCAGTTTTACTACTCTTGCTGATCTCCATGATGGCAGTCTAACCGGTACTGGAATTATTCGCTGTACCTAAGGGCCCCTTCCTGGTAATGAAAGGGGCGCCATTGCGTATTAAGCATGATAAGTTCGTGGCCCAAGCATCTAGACTCACATTGTATATTCTGACAATTATCGCCCGTATGAACTCGTGACAGTTGAGTTCTGCAAACGGACGTAAACCTCGAGGGATGGCGGAGACAATTAAGGCTGGTGCGAACTTCAACCGACATCAAGGTGGTACTTGAGCGGGCCAGGCTCGCGATCACGGCTTAGTAGAAGGGGGATGTATCGAACGAAGTGCGTCGACGAAGCGTCCAAGCCTTTCGAGAGTTCACGAGAATGGATAGAAGGTTTGTGAAGCGGGAGTGTTCAGAAGTTTCAGTACAGTAGTCAACGACCGTCAACAGTGCAAAGAAATTGAGTGCAGCAAGCAGCACGTGGTAGCAGCAATAGCAAGACGCCGAGTTGGCTATTCTTCAAAGCAGCCTCCTCTAGGAGAGGGCTTAGCAAGATATCCTGACTGAGGGTCCTGTTAGTGGCCAGCGGCTGTTGTCTGGTCAAGGTTGAAGGCTTCAGCAAAGTAAGTGTCTGTGGAAGAGAGATGAGTGACTGAGTAGACAGGTGAGGAACAAAGAGGAGCTGAGAGATAGGAAATGTTCGGGGGATTAAGTAGGGCGAGTCTTGGTTAGACGCCGTGTGGGCCTCGAGACGGGCAGCATAGATACGGAGCGCCTCTAGGTGGAACACCAAGATGCCATTGGCCAGATGATGCATGACAGCTATTATCGTGGGGTATTGACTAGCTTCGGGATCCATCCTGAGACAGTGAATAGCGAGTCTGGAATCGAGGCGAGATAGGATAAGGTAGCACAGTGTTTGCTGACAGGACGACGATCGTAGACCACATGATCAGCTGCGACACCGTGGGGGTGACGCTGTCGTTGCACGGGCAAAGCAGATTGTGAAATCCGGGTCCCGAGATACTCCAATCAATTGTGCAGTTAGTGACCAGATTGGACTCAATTCGATGAATACAGTGGAATACTGAAGCACAGAAGTCGGGTTCCGTGCAAGGATTCAATGTCAGGTGCAGTGACATAGCCAAGTTAAGGCTCAAGCCACCGGCAGCTGAGTGTGGAGGAGATCGAAAGCCCTTGGTTTAGAGAAGCCAAGGAAAACCGTCATTGGCCCCGATGTTCCAGTTGGATGCAGTCACAGGAGCCCAATCTGGAAGAGTCGTAGTAGGCGGTGTTGTCAAAGAGCATCATGCATGTTGTTTGTTGGTGGTGGATGGCCACGGCTTGCGACGGCGCCAGGACTCACTAATCTTTTTTATCAGTACTGTGTCACTTGATAAGACTCACCACCGGAATGTCATGCCGGATCATGCGGAGAACCGAAGCATCATGATCCTGAATCACTGGCTCGTATATGGAAGTTCGGTTCAAGATAACCATGCCCAACGGCCCGGCCGTGCTGAATGAGTTTGAGACTCCGATTGGCGATGTTGGTCATGAAATCCTCCATCTTGATAGCTGAGTTTAGTAGTGAAATGGTCTCAAATTGAATGTGTCTCAGTTGCTCGTAAACATTAACGCAGCAAGATCTAACAACGGATATCTAAGCTGATTGATTGACTGCAAAAAACCCCGTGCACCGTATGCCAAGTCTGGCACTTACACTGCTTCTCCTTTCGCTTTGGGCATTTTCTCTCCTTGACTCGTCATCCATATAGCATTACATGCGTCGGATCTCCTGTTCGTTCATGTACTTATTCAAGCCGGAGTCGAGGTTCTGCCACCACTCGAAGAGCATAGAGTTGCAAATGAGCTTGAACCAAGGTGTGAAAACCAGGCTGGGGTCATCGAATTGTTGCTTGAGCGTCTCGGGAGTGACGTATTGTGTATCTCTGACCTCGTTCTTGTTGATGTCGAGGTCGACGTTGGCCTTGATGAAGAGGATGTAGTCAACTGCGCCGGCTGTTAGATACTGTAACATGCAATATTGGATAGACATACTCTCGTGCTCACCCCACTTGCCGTCGCTGGGGGCCTTGTAGTGGATTCGGGTGAGGAAATGGAAGTCCTCAAAGGGAACCTGCTCCTTCTTGATACCCAGCTCGTGCTCAAGCTTGCGCTGAGCAGCTCGCTTGACACCGGCGATGGAGTCTTCAAGGGTAGCACCAGTCTCGGTAGGGATGTGGAGGGGATGGGAGCAGCAAGTGTTGGTCCACATGTCGGGGAAGGTGATCTTTTCGGATGCGCGCTGCTGGAGGAGGAGCTCGTTCTTGTCGTTGAAGAGGAAGACGGAAAACGCGCGGTGAAGGAGGCCCTTATCGATGTTGGTCATGAGATGGCCTTGTAGTCTAAGTTAGTAGGGGGCATTGGATAGTGGTGCAGTTCCCCATACAGATCTTCTTGCTGGCGGTACCGATTGGCTTGTCATTCTCGTCGAGGACAATGCAGACCTCATCCATAAGACGGATTTGCTCTTCATCATGGCCGGACAGAGGCTCTGAGCTGGTGTCGATGTCCGGGAAGAGACGGAGCATAGATTCGGCCGTGATAGGCTGGGTTGTAGTGGTAGTTGTTGTAGACATGGTGATTCGAACAGGAGTAGAGTCTGAGTTATGGAGAAGAAACAGTTCGTGATGCTTTTCAAGTTCAGGGCACGCCACAGACAAACAGACAGCGAGTATACATACATATATGAGGAACAGGGTCAAGCGGTCTGAAGAAAGGATTAATTTAAAGGGTCATTTGTTTCACGCCTTCTTTACTATTTGCCCCTCCAAAAAGTTATCGGGTGTGGCACCCGTACCCCTCTACCCGCTACTGCAGGCCCACAACCTTGTGAATCAGCCATTGAGAGCCGAGTTTATGGGGGTTCTCTCCAGGTCCCTTCTCTATTTGGCAGTGGGGCTCAACCACTCAAAGCCTGGGCTGTGGCTGTTGGCCAGTCACTCTCGGTGAACCTCTTCTTGTTTTAGCGTATGCTACCAGATGATGGGTTCAAGGACTCAATTATGAACTAACATGTAAATATCCTCCTCTTACTATAAAAGGCGCAAGTTCATGAGGAAATGCAATATTGACAATCAGCAGTAAGTTGTGCAGCACATCCCCTTAGCAAACTCTAACCTCTATGACAGGGGGGGCTTAGAGAGAGTGGTAACAGCATGCTGTTCCATAAACTCACGAGTAGCTCAGATGCATGTTGAAGTATAGCATCGTACTGTCAAGATTGTTATATCGTCAAGTTTTGCTAAAATAATAGTAAACTGAATAAGTGATGCCAATGACTTACATGCTCTATCCTCTGCTGCCTCTCTTACTGATCAACAAACTCTCTTACCAGTAAGATTATGCGCTAATTTGGATATTGGCTAAGCGGGGGCCGCAGATGCATCAGGGGAAATGCAGGCCTATCCAAGCGTGGCTGGAGAGCTGGCTTCGTCATTCGACCTCCAGCTCACTCTACACTGACCATAGAACCTCCATCTTTGCCTTTCCACTAATTCGACATCCTCTGCGGTCGCCGCCAAAACGATTGCCTCTATCTTTTTCTAATCCGGTTTAATTAGAGCGCTCTTTTTATTATTATTTTAAACTCGACTTTGAACAATAAACCCACACGGCTGCCCATAGCCCCCAGACGTACGTGATCATGGCTCCCAAGATCGAGGCGCAGGAAATTGAGACGTACTGGAATATCTTCTCTACCCGAACAGGAGGCGGCAAGTTCCTTACAGGTGAACAAGCTGCTCCTGTTCTAAAGAACAGTGGCCTCCGAGATGATCAACTAGAGCGAGTATGGGATCTTGCGGACGTGGATAATGATGGAAACCTTGATTTCGAGGAGTTCTGCGTTGCCATGCGCATCATCTTTGATATTCTCAACGGGGTATGGCACGATCGCTGAGTGGTTTTTTGACTTTGTAGCTTACGAATTACAGGAATACGCGGATGTGCCGACAACATTGCCCGACTGGCTTGTCCCTGAGTCCAAGGCTCATCTCGTGCAGGCTGGCCAAGCCATCACCGGAAAATCAGTACAGTTCGAGCAGGTTGAGGACGACTCGGAAGACCTGGGACTCAAAGACGGATTCGAGTGGTACATGAAGCCTGCGGACAAGGCCAAATACGAGCAGATCTACCAGGAGAACCGAGATATGCGAGGCGAGGTGGATTGTATGTCTATGGTAACCCGAGATTCTGGGACATAAAGCTAACGATCATAGTCCATGCGCTTAGTGATCTTTACGAGTCCCTTGATGTTCCCGATACCGATGTCCGATCCGCCTGGAATCTGATCAACCCCTCGGCGCAATCGACTATCAACAAGGACGCTTGTCTCGCATTCCTACATATCCTCAACTACCGACATGAGGGCTTCCGAATCCCCCGTACCGTTCCGGCCTCGCTTCGATCAAGCTTTGAGCGCAATCAGATTGATTATCAAGTCGACAACCAGCGAACAGGCGCTAACTCGCGATGGGCCACCAAGGCTGATGACACCACGAGTACCGGCCGCAAAGCTAAGTTCGGCGATCAATACCTAACGCGCCTGGGTCGAAGTGGCTTCAAGAGCTCGGGCACGGATTTCTCGACGGAAAAGACGGAGGATTGGGAAGAGGTTCGACTGAAGCGCAAGCTCCAGGACCTCGAGGATAAGATAAAGAAGGTGGAGGAGATCGCGGAGCGCCGGAAAGGCGGCAAACGCGATTCTAAGCCTGCACTTGTTAAGAAGGAACTCGATCAATTGCTCGAATACAAGCGACGAGAACTTAGGGAACTGGAAGAGGGAACTGGTAAGAGCGCGGCTGGGGGGAGCCTCAAGAGCATACAGGAAGATCTCCAGACAGTCCGGGAGCAGGTTGAGGGTCTAGAGAATCACTTGAGAACACGAGAACAAGTTCTTGAGCAGATCAGGCGGGAGATTGAAGACGAGAAGAGAGGATAGGATAGGCGAATTAATTAGATTATGGGTGTGGGTATGTTGCTTTTTCTTTGTAGGAATATCATGGCGCTTTCTTGAATAAGATATCAGGCACTGCACTACACGCATTCTCAATCACCACATACTTCCGCTGACGTACTTCTTGGTACGTTCGAGACCTAATGTACGACCCTTGACGGCCCATACAGCAAGCGACGGCACCGGGACTTTGCCTAGGCGTCCAGCTCCGCGACTTCGACCTGTGGCGCAAAGAAAAGCATCTACTCGAGGACCGCTCACAGGCTGTGGTTCCTTGCCTTTCAGTACGAGGTCAATGTTCTTGAAGACACCGGCAGCCTGAGCCTCTGTGATCAAGAATGCGGCGCGAGGCTTGGATACGACGTCTCCAACTGCCCATACGTCCTCTACATTCTTGACGCGCATCTCATCGTCCACGTCGACGTAGCCCTGCTTGGTAAGCCACTCCTTTGGCAGGAACCCAGAATTTGGCTTCAGTCCCATCGTCGCGAGGAATAAATCTGTCACCAATTCCTCCCCGTTGGACAGCTTCACCAACGTCTTGCCATCCGGTAGTTCCGTCGTGTCCTCGGATCGTACACCAGCACGGATCTCAACACCAAGGCGCTTCAGCTCAGACTCAACACTACCAGCTATCTGGTCGCCAGCGACGACTTTGTCCCCAGCTGAGATGAGTAGAACGGTAGTCGAGGGATAAGCATATTGAATCTCGCCTGCGAGTTCAACGCCTGTAGCTCCGGCACCGGCGACAACAATATGCGTAGCTTTTTCAACCTTTTCAGCAGTGCTGTGCAAGCTCTCCACGAGCTCCTCGTGCGAGCTGGATGCTTTCCAAGGGAGTGAGGGGTCAACGGTTTCGGCGCCGGTAGCAATAACAAGATGATCATATTTGAGCACGGTCTTCTGGCCAGCACCAGCATCCGTATCGACTGTTACGGTACGGGCAGTGTGATCGACGCCAGAAGCAGTGCCGACAATGAACTCAACGCTGCCGGCGGGATACTGATCCAGGCCTGGCTTGATGGGCGCAAAGATCTCATCATCATTTACAACGCCAGGGACAACGGCGCGAACAGAAGCCAAGTTCCAGTAAAAGTGGCTACTCTGTAAGCTTGTCAGTGTCAATGGCGTAAAGGGAACAGAATCTGTTGAGTGAGTACCTTTGAGACCAGGATAACTTTGAGATCTTGTTCACGAGGTCGTGTGTACTTGAGCAGTTGATGGGTGACGGCCATACCGCCTAGGCTGCCGCCTAATACGACGACGGTTTTTGTCATGATTAATCAATTGATGTGAAGTGGGCTTGGTGGTTATTTCTGGGAGGGTTATGGCACTCTTTATCAAAATTGAGTAGCTCATGTAACGTGTAGATAACATCGGAGAGACATGTGAGCTGTGAAAGTTTAAAGCCGAGCGAGCATGATTGTTCCGCTCCCGATGGTCTCGGAGCAATACTAAGCTCGTCTATGACGAGTTCAAGGCTGTGTAACGAAAAGATGTTCCGGGACGGCCTATGTTTCAGGCTCGTCGGATACTGCAATATCTGATATGAGGCTATTGTAGCTTCAGCTGGCGTATTCGTATGGGCTATCTTCTCTGTTCAGCTCATGCTGGGCTCTTGCTCCGTCTCAGGCCCCGAGGGTGGGAGCTGTCGAAGCTTGCTTGTGCATCCGACTTTGATGCAGAGGTAGTAGGTAGGTAGTTTCACCAAAGCATTGCCTACCGATACTATTTCGTTGTATCATAAAAACGATATCCAATATCTTCAAGAATTATAGCCCCTGTTCCCCACGTGCCTCTCTTCGCCATTGAGTCGCAATTATCTACTACCTATCCAGCTCCTTCCTTCCCTCGGCAGATCCCCTTCTCATCTCACTTAAGGAAGGTAGAGAAGGTCCCCCAAAGTAACCAATGGCAGATCACGACGTCACTCAGCGCAACTTGGCCCCTAAGCCCCTCCATCGAATCCCATGACCCCGCTATAACCCGCACGACGGGAGAAGCCAAGTTAAGTTCCTCAACAAACACCCCAACAGCTCTTCTCCTTCTTACTCTCTTCTCCAAACTTGGTTTCTCCAATAACTTCAACAACATTCTCACCCCTTTGCCCATCATGTCTGAATCTTTCCAGAAGGCCGTCGAGGACTCCAAGAAGCTCACCTCTAAGCCCAACACCGACGATCTTCTCAGGCTCTACGGTAGAATCTCTCTGACCCATGTCTTCGACCTCTCTGCTAACGTTTTCAGGACTCTACAAGGTCGCCAACGGTGAGGACTTCTCCGCTGCTACCGCCCCTGGCATGTTCGACCTCAAGGCAAGTTAGAAGCCTATATTCCTTGCCTGCGACGAACTAACACCGCTTTCAGGGCAAGGCCAAGTATAACGCTTGGAAGAAGGCCGCCGAGGAGGAGAAGCTCACACCCGATGCCGCTCAGGTCAAGTACGTTGAGCTGGTTGAAGAGCTCAAGGAGAAATGCGGCTACGATGCCAACAAGGTTCCCGAGGCCGTTGGTAATTAAGTGTCCAAATCACCACTTCGAATAGACAAGCCTCCGCGACAGAACAACTCAGGAGCAGGAATATCTAAACACATATGAAACCATACAATGTTGGAGTCAGATCAGATGGGAGAAGCCCTTTCGTGGTTTCCTTTTACGCTGCCTATAACACGCATCGTATTTAGCTGTCGAGATAAATCATACCCTTTCGTTTTGCGCCATTGATGTCGTCCAGACTTCCACAGCAGTACTCTTGCGTACCAGGACTACGGCCTTATGTGTTCCTTGGTGGACAACATGTCATGGGATTTCGCTCCCGGTGACATGTGACATCACTCACAGCCGACGGTGATTCCCAAACTTGGTGGTGCATTATCACGTAATACTCCTCAACCCATGACATTGCGGTGTCACAGGACTTGAGCTTTGTAGGAAAGTGTACAAGTTCATTGTCTGTAGTCCCAATTTGACCTTGGACTCGCGCCTCAAATGTCATTACACAAGGCATCAGAGTATCTTACTGATGGTCTATGGAGACAGATCTACAGATGTGATATGCGTAGGTCAATACAACATATAGGACATGGATATGAGCTACTATTGAACCATGCTAGCTCACTAACAACCCATCCAGCTCCCTACACAGCACAGTAATACCACAGTTCAGTTTCTATCAAGTTCGTTGCAACTCATTGGCGTGTGGCGCACTGAGAAGAGTGGATATACTAGACTTATATGCTTGCTATTCTCAATGGCTCACATTTGTTACAACGATTTCACACATAGGCGTCACTGCTTCCCATCATTGTATAGAATGTCTTGGTTGATATGTGTGCAATGTCGAGTAAAATTGTCTACCAGGGCAATTATTAATGTCAAGTATACGAGGCGGAGACTAAGCTCTCGCAACGTGACGAATAGTAAATAAGTTTTAGGTGTAACAAGGTATGCGAAAGCCGTATACCGATCGTAAGAATGTATGTTCCAAGCGCTGAGCGTTTCTCATTTCGTTTCAACTCGTCCTCCTCATGCTCATTTCCTAGCCAACCAAAAACACCAAGCCGATCAACTCCGGGTGAAGACGTAAACAGAATGGGGGATATCGAAAAAGGGGTATTTCATCAGAAGATTAATGCAGCTCGACATTGCACCACGAGTTTTGTTTTCAATCCACCTCTTACTTGGCGTGTTCCACGCATAAAGCCTTTCGTTGCTTTCTTCATCATTGAGTCATTATTCGCGACGACGGATGAGCGTCATTTTGGGTAGTATCTCGCGAAAACCAGTGTTTCCACGGGCAAGTGTGTGACTTAGAGAAGGGCGAAGAAGCCAGCAGCAGCGAGGAGCATGGCGCTCACGCCGGTGAGGGAAGCACCACTGCTAATGGTGGAAGGCTCAGCAGAGCCAGGAGCGGATTCAGATGGCTGAGTAGGCACGGCAGTGGCAATGGTGCTGTTGGAACCACTCCAAGCCGTGCTGTAGCCAGAGCTAGGGGCAACAACGGTGGTCTTAGCAGCCTTGGTCGTGGTCTTAGCGACAACCGACTTGGTGGTGGTTGCAGGCTCGGTGCTGGCAAGAGAGGTGCTGGTGATGTAGACAGTTGTCGAGGTGGTCTCTAGGGCAGAGGTGGTGGTGGGAGCAGCAGTGGTAGTGGCAACGGTGGGAGCAGCGGTGGAGGTCATGAGCTTCTCAGTCTTGAGGCCGTCCTCAACGCCGTACGCCTTGGCACACTGAGCAAGATCCATAGATTCAGGGCAACACCATGTCTGGGCCTTGGTGTCATGAGAGCAGTAGTAACCCGCATCGCAAGAGTCTAGTGAGATAGTTAGTTTCAGTTTACTCTTTGAAACGGACTCATCGATGAATGAGTCTGGGTGTACATACTTCCAGTGCCGTCAAAGCAGCAAGACTGCTTAACAGTAGGGTTGAAACAGTGGGTAGATTCATCCTCAGAAGGGCAAGACTCGTAACCAGCACCACAAGCATCAGCGCAAGTGTTACCGCCGCCACCACAGACTGACTGATCAGGTTGGTATCCGGGAGTAGAACGGCGAGCGAGGCTGAGACCCTCAACGGGTGCCTTGACCAGCTTGTAAGGCTGGGGCTCGGCAGCAACGTTGCTGGCACAAGCCAGGAAAGCGACAGAGGCGATGGTTCGGAAAAGCATCTTGTCAGACGAGCAAAGAGGCTGGAATTTGAACGCGAAGTTGAAGTTGAGCTTGGTTGGCTTATACGAGTCCGATCTGGCAGACAGGGAGGAAAGCCACAAACAGGGTATAAGGATGATGGTGGAGAAGGCGGTTTTGCGTTGAGCGGTAAGCGAGTGAGTGAATGCTAGATAAAACTAGGATCAGAGTATAAACGACTGTTGTTGTTAAAGAACGGAACGAGTATCGATAAAGGGGCGATTCTCTAGGACAGCAGCGACGACAACAAGGACGAACGAAGAGGTGTGTGAGGGAAGATCAAAAAGATGAAGTCGTCGA